CAAGGGTGTCTCCTCCCTCCACTAACTAATGGCAAGAAATGGAATAAAATTTCTTTGGGTGTTGAGTTTGGTCAGCATTTCTTCACTGAGGTTGTGAAGAGTTGGATCTGATCAGCAGAAGGTGCTAAAGACATTTGCAGACTCCTTCCTCTGGTTATTATTATTATTATTATTATTATTATTATTATTATTAAGCATCTGAAGTCTTGGCAAGATCCCATTCTTGGCCTCTTCAGTCTCTTGCTTTGTGACTGTGGAAATGAACAGAGGCTGAGAGAACGGTGTATTTTCTAAATTCATATTTTGGCAGAGCGTAATTTGGTGGTTTTCAGTGCTGAGCTCAGACTCTTCTTTTGTCCTCTCCTGGGCGAGTCAGGTCATTTGAAGGTGTAGAAAGATGACATGTGACTCTAACCTAATTGACTTTATTCTGGCTGGGGCAGGGGAGGAGCCCAAAAGAGAATTTTACTCAGCTTTCATACCTTACAGAACTTTTTTCTTTTCACTCTCCAACAAGGTCTGCTGAGAACAGACCCAGTACCCGAGGAAGGAGAAGATGCTGCTGCCATGATCGGTACCACTGAGTCTCTATCAGAGGAGGAGCAAGAAGAGCTAAGAAAAGAACTTGTGAAGGTAAAGAAGCATTCCTCTGGGACGTCATGTTTTGCACTTCAAATATATTGTCGTTTGTTTTTCTAAAGCACATGGTAGTGGCTTACAGTCAGTTTCAGGGGAGAGAAAGCACCATGTGTCCACTTGTCCTAGAGGTCTCGAGCTGGGAGAGGATATGGGAGAGTGTGAGGTCAGTTGGTTTTTGTGTGGGGAAGGCGTGTGCAGGTGAAGTGCACCTGAGAAGTAGGGGGTGAAGTGGAAAATGGGTATGAGGGGTATCAGTGAGTGTCTTCTAAGGGACCTCAGTAACCTGAGGCACGTGGCTTTTCACCTGTTTCAGTGACTTTGTTCTATCCTTGGCAGTGTTGTGGCTAGAGGCACTTTGAACCTTCTTTCCTTCCCTCCCTCTCTCTCTCTTTCTTAAAACTAACCATTTTAAAGCCTACAATTTAGTGGCATTCAGCATATTCACAATGTTGTGAAACTGTCATCTCTGTCTAGCTCCAAAACATCCTCCTCACGTCCAAAACAGACCCCATCCTCACTAAACTGGGATCCCCAGTCTTCCCTCCCTCAGCCCCTGGCAACAACTTATCTGCTTTCTGTCTTATTGGATTTACCTATTCCAAATATTTCACTTAAATGGAATCACATAATAAATGACTTTTGGTACCTGGCTTCCTTCAGTTAGCATAACTCTTGGAGGTTCGTACCTGTTATACGGGTACTTCACTGCTTTTTACGGCCGAATGATACTCCATTCATTGTATGTATCGACTGTATTTTGTTTATCCATTCATCTGTTGATGGACATTGGGAGATGTCCACCTTTTGACTACTGTAGATACTGAGCTAAGGAGTATGTGTGTGCTTGTTTGATTACCCATTTCCAGTTCCTTTGGGATAAACCCAGAAGTGGAATTCCTTGCTATGTGGTAATTCCATGTTTAACTTTTTTGGGGGAAACTGCCAAACTGTTTTCACAGCAGGGCCACCATTTTACATCTCCATCAGCAATTTCTCTGCATTCTTGCCAATGTTTAAAATTTTCTG